TAGTTTAATTACTACAACATTTTGATGGATATTTCCAGAGATTAATGATAAAAACTGCACGTTGTCCCTTTAAGAGATTATTCTGAAAAAATAGCATTCTTATTTTAGACTAATATCAATGGCAGCTACAAACGTTGCCACTTCCTGGTAGTCGCCTACCTTCTATCTGCCCCAAACAACAAAAGACAAAAACTATTTACACAAACAACTCGAGTGAGGGCTGTGCACAGAGTTATCCTGCCATTTACTCCCAAAAGGCTCTGATCACAGCGGGGATGACATGCAAGGACCGGTGCATGTCATGGAGAATACACAGCCAGTGGCAGTGCTCAGCAGCCTCCCAGTCACTCCATACAACACACCCTTCAAAGAAATGTCATCCTTTATGGTCCCTTCAACACATTCTAAATCCACTCCCCTTCGATCACTACAGCTCAAACACACAACAAAGCCACGAGGGCCAGTATCGGACGTCCTTTTCTCTTGGTCTGTCCCTCCTTCTATCTCTCTGATTGTCTGCCCGTCCTTTGGTGAGAAGAAACCAACCCGTGTCTCCTCTTTGAGCCGACACGGCTGCCTGCCCCCCACTGAGCGGGCCAGAGGCACCACAAAGCAGGCCATCTAAAGCAACTGAGGAGTGCTGGGTGTTTGGTATTTGAGTGTGACCATCCAGCTGAGAGTTGCCACACAGGAAACTCTGACTAAATGCCACCTTTCTGGGCAGACAGATCGAAACTCTGTGTGAGAAAGAGAGAGGCTGTTAGGCCTAGTTTTTTCTCTGAGATGGCAAAGGAGGGGTGAGGAGGGAGCTAGTGACTCCCCTGCGGCAGTCCCTGTCATCTCTCCAGGTGATGGACACTCGAACTACGCATTAGCTCCAAATTAGTCGAGCGACCACCCACTATGGCAGCTCTGGAGTTAAACCTATGAAACTCTCTCCCTTTTTTTTTGTTTTCATTAAATGAGGCGCTTTTTTTTTCTCCCCACACCTTCACAGAATTCCCTGAGCGGGTCCAATCAATTTCCAGGCTGGGGCCCTGAGGTGAGGGCTGATGAGAGTGAGATCGATCCCAACTCTGCCGTTTTCTGTTTACCTTATGCCGGCCTCCCCCCACGTCAGCCAGCGAAGCTGCTTCCCCCAACTCACAGCGAGTGAAGCGACACTTGACACGCACATGCCAGAGTGTGCAGATGCACGCTAGATAATTACGTAACTACAAAGGATAACACGTTTTGTGGTCATATTTCATAAAACAAAAAAATTGTTGTTTCAATTTTCAAACAGTTTGTGTCACAAACAGGGTTAAGCAAATATAATTAGCAGTGTGTGCTGCTTATAGCTGGTGATGAGGGTGATTTGAGCTCAACAGCAGTAATACTGTCTAAGCACTATAGATTTTTATAATAGCTCTGGTTGATTAGCTGCGGCGACCATCTTGAATTGGATTGACTCAGTTATATATATATATATATATATATATATATATATATATGTATGTATATATATATATATATATATATATATATATATATGTATGTATATATATATATATATATATGTTCACCCAACGATTGCTTTCTGAGAGTTTCATTAACATGCATACATTGGTTTATAGGACATTTGGCAGACATGCACAGGAAAAGCCTTCAATGCCCTCCTTTCATCTTGCAGCTGCAGTAATTTAAATGTTATAAGTTTGCAAGAGTTAAAGGGACATTATGGAAGTTTGACAGCCAAAACATGAATAGAAATAATAAATGTCTTCTTCATACGTTCTCCTGCAATGTCCTGGTCCTGTAGAATGAGCCCTGGCATTTTTACTGTGATTGCCTGTTTTTCTGTAAAATCACAGAAAAAGAGAGATGCTCGGGTCGAGCAGGCTGCTTCATGCGCGTTCACGCTCAGGCGTAGCCCTCCGAACCGTTCTTTGCACGTTGTTTCAGCTGTCATCAAGGATATAAATGTTACAGATACAAACAACGTCACTGGTGCTTTAGCTTGCCTAGTACGATGTCGGACTTTCGTGCGGAAGACCTGGGTTCGATTCTGGATGTAAACATAATTTATGTAGAGTTTCTTTTTTACATTAATGGTATATTTTTTACAGTAAGATGCCCAAATTTTTATTTGACACTCGCCGAACGGCATTGAATTCACAGATAAAAAAGATGTGGGTTCAACTTTCATTTTGGAACAATTTTTCAACCAAGGGAAGGGAATGATCTGAGCATGCAGGAGGACTGACCCATCATAAACCTTTGTCGGCTGTGCTGAAGAGAAAGGTACAGAACCAAATTATTTAATTAATTAGCTGCGTGTTCTCCTGTCCTCTGTCCTCCGGGCCACACACACACACACACACACACACGGGACTGTCTCAGATGTTATTTTCGTTAAGGAGTGTGCACGTACAGCATGTGCGCCTCGTGCACGAGCCTACTATTGAAGCTGCAGTTACACTTTTGGCCTGAGGGGGCAATCGCGAGCATAAAAATTCAAAAATCCGTAAAGTCCCTTTAAGGTGAAATATAATAAGATTCAACACATTTTAGCCTTTTTGATTAATAAAATTGGGGGAGAAAATGTGTTAGATAGTAATAAAGTGTTGTGTTCTGCTAGAAGAAACTGCTTTATGAGGTTACGATAATATCACTGCTTTTAGGACACAAGCCTCTAAAGAAGGTTGTTTCAAAGCCGAAGAAAGACCCAAAAGCCTCGGGGAGGGATTCTGGTCCTGAAAGCAGGACACTGGAAGGTTACGGGCATCCTGTTCCTGCACAGTTTACCTTTTCTCTGAACAAAAGAATAAACCTTGTCCATTTCTTCAATATTTACTGTGAGGGGGACGAGCGTCATTAGAGAAGGGTCCCTGAGTGAACCGTGTCTCACTCCCATCTGCAATGTGACACGGTGGCTTTAAATGAAACAAGACATTTGTGTCTCGGATTAGCATTTCAAAGCCAAACGTACACATGAGGGCCGCGTGGTGATGCCATGTTAGGCGTCTCCGACCAACGGAGACAGCAGGTAAGATTAAAACTGAGACGGTGAGAGGGACTGCACCCACCTAACAGGTGGGAACTTCTTTATTGTTGTTTCTGTGTCTTTTTGACTCCCACATTAGCTAGTTACGCTGCTCTGTCTCTAAATGCAGACACCCAGGTGGCAGATGCTCTGCTCCATCATCATCACCCGTACCTTCTGTCAAGTTGTCCCCTCTTCCAGTGTCAGCTGGAGCTAGCTTGCTCTTTAGCACGTTTTAAGGAAAAACCCAAAAGGCAATGCTCGGGTCATGTTGCCTGCGTGTCTCAGGCTTGTTCACTCCTCGGTCGTCCATGTCAAACAAGACCTGCGCAATGTGCACCCACCAAGCACCGAAGTGGGCTGCCATCATAAATAACTCCACTAACAATACATCATTTAGCTGGGTGTTCTGCTCTCGTGGGCAACTCCAAACAAATGGCCACATCGATCATAGCGAGAGTCGGGTAGAGTAGGCCTGAGCCCCTGAGAGGCCCCCCTCCTTTTTACTTACACACACACACACACGCACACACACACACACACACACACACACACACACACACACACACACACACACACATATAATGGGCCCGTTTTCCAAAATAAGCATGCCTTGCACTCTTGGTGTAGGCCTACGCTTGGTAATCCTGTGGTGCTATGTGGCAAACTAGCAGGTGTTGCTAGCTCAACTAGCACAGCCGTTCTCCCAACACGGACATCCCTATTGTTTTACTGTGCTGAATAACTAATGTTGTCTACAACCTTTAAACAACCTTACGTCAGACTCATCTGTCATGGCATCCTGCTGAGGGACCCGGGCGCCGGCGTCTGCTAGGATGTGCACTTCGGGTGCAGGGGTGTACAAGGGGAGAGGTGAGATGGTATATTAACCGTTGGCCTGCGGCAAGCCATCACAGGAGGCTGATGCCTCCTCTTTTTTGACCTCGCTCTATCCCTCAGAACCCCGAGCCAGCATCACTCATTGTTCTATATGAAGAGAGGTTAGGGAAGGGGACAGGGGCACGACTCCATCTTTACAAAACATATGGAGAGGCTATTGCCTGGCGATCCATCACGAGCCAGGACAAATGAGAACAACCTTAATTTCATATTGTAGAAAAAAACAACAAGGTGTGGTGAGACAAGAGCGGGCAGCTGGCAAGTTCCCATTTACCAAGCTTTAACCCGACACGTCCCATTACGGTCTGTAATCCTCTGGATGCAGAAGACAATTCAGATAGTAGATCAGGAATAATATCCATATTGTGTATTTATTCCATTTGTTTATTGGAACAATGTATGTATTTTTGTAAAAATTCAACTCAAAAATAACAAATTTATGGGATTAAAACCTATGATTCCTTTAACACCGATGTCAGGACTTATCTCTTATAAAATATTAGGTCAAGCAAAAGACTGCAGTGCATTTGTGTGTGCCGGATTTGCAACCATTACAGGTGTGTAAGCCCATAAGATGCAAAGAGCACAAATACGTGTTTGCTCAAGTACATTCAGTTCCTTAATTAGATGTTTATCCATGTTATCTGCAGAGCTTTCTTCGTATTCAACAACAATTCCTGCTGTCTGGATTAAGTCACCATCATATTTACAGATGGATCGGAGTTGTTTTTAACCTGCTTGGAGCAGCAGATGGGTGAGGATTACAGCATCAGGACCACTCCGATAGAGTCAGGGAGGTTCCAGACTTCCAAAGGCTGCCATGATGCTGAGGGCACATTTCACCTGATACTCAGAAATGCCTCAAATGCAATTGCATCCAATTTTGCAGATGAATAATTCATCTTTAGTCAATAAATAGCAAATTAAGATTCTCAGAAGTTAACACAACAGGTTGTGTCTGCAGTGTGATGAAAGTACCTGTTAGCTAAGACACTAATGAACTAAAACAAAGTCAGATATGCAGTCTCCAGACATTTACATGCATGCGTGTTCACACACAGCAAAGCACCCACACCTCATTGTGAATGTCCTCGACATGCTGTAGCGTTGTTGACTGCAGGGCCAGCAGGCTGTGGGAGCCTGTCTCTGGGTCAGTGTGCAGGTTGGACAGGGCCTCCTGGCACCGTGACTGGATGTAGGTCAGGGTCCCCCTGGAACACTGAGAGGAACGAGACAGGAACAGTTTCACATATGTGCAGAACATTCCCACCATTTCTCAATCGTGTTTCTGTGTGAAAGTCATGAACGCTGTTTCCGAGATCAATTTCTAAATAAACTTAAATGAAATGATGTTTGCATCCCTCAGAGTCGAGGGGCTGCTGGCTTGTCTAAGCTAAGCTCCGACTAAACTTCTGTCTTAAATTCAAGTGATCACTTATTGAAATGCACCGTATTTTCCAGACTATAAGTCACACTTTTTTCATGGTCTGGCTGGTCCTGCCACTTATACTCCTGAGCAACTTATATACCAAATTATGTATACCGCGCTGCTGCGGGCCGGCTCCGGTCCAGGTTTCAGCTCCTCTGCCCCGCCATCACCTGCTGGAGCCTGTGGCCAGCTGCTGCGGGCTGGGTGGCTCGACCCAGGAATGAGCTCTCCCCGCCTGCTGGGAGGGTTTAGAACACCGCCATCCTCTGCTGGAGACCGTGGCGCGCTGCTGCGCCCTGGTTGTTTATTATGTTATTGTTACCGGTACTTGTCTTGCAATGTGAAATGCTTGGTCTCAGATTTTGTAAGAAAAATAATAAAATTTCCCCCCAAAATGTGACTTATATATGTTTTTTTCTTCTTCATTATACATTTTATGGCTGGTGCAACTTATACTCCGGAAAATACGGTACTTAGTTTATTTATTTATTTATTTATTGCATTACAGTTTGCCAGGTGGTCATTCACGAGCTTAAACATCAATTTAATTTCAGTTTATTTATGGAGTGCCAGTTTCACAACAAAACACTAAAAACCACCAGTATGATCAGAATGTTGCCTTTCTGATGCACCCAGGGCGAGGCTTGGGCTGAAATGTGCTAATTTTTCAGGGAGAAGACATGCTGAACTGCTTTTGTTGTCAAGGATTGTAAGCTAATAAAGTTAATGTCCCATAGTCATCATCACAAACTGGTGACATTCATCTCTGCATTTGATCTGTCCCCGTGGAGGGGAGCGGTGAGCTGCAGCTGAGGCTGCGCTCAGGAACTAATTGGTGGTTTAACCCCCCAATCCAACCTCTTAACCCTCCCACTGTCTTTATGGGTGACCCCGTGAGGAAAGTTGACCACTGAGCAGTGTGACAGCAGTGTCTGTCGCCTCAGGGGCACGGTCTGCTGGTAATGTTTGTTTTCTGTGTTCTGTCCAGGATGACTGGTTGATGTGCACACAATCAGTCTTCTGTTTATGAATGCATGTGTTAGTTTTGTACTACTATTTGAGTTACCAGTGACTTGGAGTTGTCCATGGAGTCTCACACCTGCAGCTCATCTCCTCAGGAAGCCTAATCAGCACTCCTGGGATCTACCAACTCCCAAGGGAGGGGAGATTCATGTTTATGCTTGTGTTTAATTTAATGTGGATATTTTCTGTTATGGATAGGGAGTTTGTAATTATGATTTAGTTATTTGAGTTACCTGAATTGATTAGACTGGTTAGTTTGTGTGTGTGAGGATGTGTGTGTTCATTGTATGTGAATTGTTCCCCTCTTGTTTGTAGAGTGGTCTGATCAGCCACTATTTAAGTTGAACCTGGTGTGTCTGAAAGGTGATAGTGTGTCTTGTGCTGGTGTCATTCTGACTAGTTTACATTGATTAGGTTAAGTTCATGTTAATTTTGAAGCTTCTCCAAAATAAAATGGAGTTTTCAGACTCATCAGCAGTGCTTCTCTGGCTGGTTTGTGCAAGTCCCTGACAAGCAACTTACACAGAATCATAGCTCTGAGCCATCTATTCCCTTAGCCCTCAGCAGCAATGACTTCATGGGATTTTTTACAAGTAAAATTAATTATATTAGAAACAAAATCTTTAGCATCCTCCCTAATGTGATTTCTTCTTCCTCAGTAAGTGAGGCAGCATCAGAGGTAACTGTAGAACCTCATCTGTGCTTGAACCGTTTTGATCCAGTTGAGCTTTCAGAGTTATTAAAAATATTAGCTTCATCTAAACCTTCAACTTGCATTTTGGATCCAATCCCAACCACATTATTTAAAGAAGCATTTCCTTTGATTACTGCCCCCATTCTAGATATAATCAATCTATCCTTAGTAAATGGGTATGTTCCACAGGATTTTAAGGTTGCTGTAATCAAACCGTCACTTAAGAAGCCTTCTCTGGATCAAGATGGCCCAATGAATTGTAGACCAATATCTAACTTCCATTTTTATCCAAAGTCCTGGAGAAAATAGTGGCCATCCAAGTATGTCAGTATTTAAAGACTAATGCTCTGTTTGAGGAATTTCAGTCTGGTTTTAGAGAGTATCACAGCACTGAAACTGCATTAGTGAGAGTTACAAATGATATTCTCATGGCCTCAGATAAGAATCTTGTGTCTGTTCTAGTCTTGTTAGATCTCAGTGCTGCCTTTGACACAGTTGATCACAATGTTCTTTTAGAAAGACTTGAACATGTTGTAGGGATCAAAGGAACAGCGCTAGGCTGGTTTAAATCCTACCTGTCTGACAGATTTCATTTTGTAAATGTACATGACAAATCAACTTCATACTCCAGGGTTACTTGCGGAGTACCACAGGGTTCAGTGTTTGGACAAATTCTTTTTACTATATATATATGCTCCCAATTGGTAAAATCATTAGACAGCATGGGATAAACTTCCACTGTTATGCTGACGATACTCAGCTATATTTATCCATTAACCCTGATTAACCTAATCGGGTGGGTAGATTACAGGCTTGACTTGAGGACATAAAACATTGGATGACTCTAAACTTTTTGCTTTTAAATCAAGACAAGACGGAAGTTCTCAACTTTGGACCAGAAATCCAGAAAAGGAAATTGCTTAGCCAATCGCCTGACATTACATTAATCTCAGAGAACAAAGTCAGGAACCTTGGTGTTATCTTTGACCAGGACATGTCATTCAAATCCCAGGTTAAACAAGTTTGTAGGATTTCCTTTTTCCACCTTCGGAATGTTGCTAAGATTAGAAGCATCCTTTTCAGGAGTGATGCTGAAAAACTAGTTCATGCATTTATTACATCAAGACTGGATTACTGTAATTCATTACTCTCAGGAAGTCCACAGAATGTAGTTAAAAGTCGTCAGCTTGTCCAAAATGCTGCAGCTAGAGTTCTGATGAGAATTAAAAAGAGAGATCATATCTCTCCTGTCTTAGCTTCCCTACATTGGCTACCTGTTAAATTCAGAATAGATTTTAAGATCCTTCTTCTCACATATAAAGCTCTTAATAATCAAGCTCCATCATACATCAGTGATCTGATTGTTCCATACGTTCCTAACCGAGCACTTCGCTCTCAGACTGCAGGTTTACTGGTGGTTCCCAGAATATCTAAAATTAGGACGGGAGGCAGATCTTTTAGTTATCAGGCTCCTCTCCTGTGGAACCAGCTCCCAGCTTTAGTCCGTGAGGCAGACACTTTGTCTACTTTTAAGAATAGGCTTAAAACATTTTTATTTGATAGGGCCTATGGTTAAATTCTGATGTTAGCCTAAATCTGGACAAGTGGGGGAGTAGAGGGAGGTGGAGTGTACAGTCGGTAAAGACGGCTCTCCCTTGCCCTGCCTCCAACATGCCTCCATCTAAATAGGATAGATTATCCAGAGTTATCTCTGTAGTTTTGCTGCTATAGGCTTAGACTGCTGGAGGATGCACTGACCATTTTCACACATTAATACTTTCTTCTACAATCTGCTCTTTAACTGTATTATTTTCTGCAATTTCAGCTGTTAACTTTATTTTCTCTCTAAGTGTTTTTCTCCCCAGAAGAAGCTACAACGATGTTCTGCTGAGCTGTGGTGGCCTCATGGAGGGGGCCATCGTCTAGCACACTGCTGCTAACCACTTAAACATTCTCCTTCTCCTGATAATAACTTTTTACTCTCTTTGACGTTGGACGTGCTACTACTAGTTTACCCGTTTAATTATAGATCCACTAGGATAAATACAATAAAGTTTATCTCACCAAATAGAATATTTACTAAGAAATCACAATAGAACTATAGACACACGTCACACTCGTCAGCAATTTGCTGGGTTCCTTATATAGGACACATTATTTCTGATTGGCTTAATGAACTGTGAATTGGAATGTTTATTATGTGAAGTGCCTTGAGACGACTCTTTTCGTGATTTGGCGCTATATAAATAAACTTGAATTGAATTGAAATTGAATGGTTTATCCCTTGAGGTCCACGTGGCAGGGGTGAGGTGGTGCTCTCTCCTCACCCCTGCCACGTGGACCCAAGGGATAAACCATCAACCCTGCTCAATGGTCAGCTTTCCTCGCAGGGTCACATCCGCTAGGAGAGTGGGAGGGTTAAAGCTGAGTGTCAAGCAGGGAGGCATTAGGTCACATTTTTAAAGTTTTTTTTGGTACGACCCGACTGGGAATCGAACTCCGATCTCCCAGTCCCAGGGTGGACTCAACACTTGGCCACTGAGCTGCTTCATGCAGCTATAGACGTTTTCTAATTGGAGCTTTTTAACAAGGTAGTAACTAGGGTTGTCACGGTAACCGGTGTAGCGGTAAACCCCGGTAAAAAAGTTGACAATAAAAATAACCGTCTTGTTTTTAAAAAAAATATATTATCTCGGTGGATTACCGTGGCTGCGGTGTAGGCGCGGTGACCCTTACCAGCCACCGTACCATCTGCTGAAGTTGCCGGCGGCACATGCGCGCTTTGATGTTTACAACCAAAACTTTCTTGAAGCTAAAGATGAAATAATGGTCAAAGGAGGAGACGGCAGTGCTCAGGACATTTATCATCCCTCAAAGAAGACAAAGTGGGAAGTACAGGCATCTTTTGGATATTTGAAGAATGCCGAGGGACAGCTGATAGAAGACGGCTATCCTGTTTGCAGCACGTGCAGAAAAAGTGTCTGTGAAAGGCAGCAACGCTTCAAATCTCATGACACATCTGCGTGACCATCACCCACAACTCTACAGTCAACGCAAGGCAAGCTAACGTTAGCGTTTTAGCTAAAATGTGTGATCTGAGGATTTGGGTTGAGGGAGAATGCAACGAGTCGCTATATAAAGCAGCGCCGCTACCTGCATATAAACCATGTCGCGGACACCGCCATGTTGAAATGACGCTATGCATTACGGGGCTCCCAGGGGCAGATAAGAGTTGGTCTCTCTCCGAGAATAATTATGAATTTAACAACGATTACTGCCTGATGACATTTTCCCACATCTGCAAAGCTCACTGGAAGGACACAAACCGAGGACGATATTTTCCTGATATAGGGCTTATTACTCAAGTAAGGGTAAAAAAAAGTATCTGGTTAGAAGGCTACTTGAGTACTGAGTATCATCTGGTCTAATATTTTAAAATGATGACATCAAACAGACATAAAATAAGAAGTTATGGGCAAATATTGGTATTTTAAAGACTAAAGGGGAAAAATGTAAACAAACAACATAATTACAAAATAACACATTTTAGGCAACATTTAGACACAAACTGAGGACAACATCTTCCTGATGTGCAGGGTTTATTTAGTTTCCTGAAAATTTAACACGTTTAAAAAAAATACCGCGATAATACCGAAAACCGTGATAATTTTGGTCACGATAACCGTGAGGTTACATTTTCACACCGTGACAACACTAGTAGCAACTCACTTTGGTTTTTGATGAGATGAGACTAGTTTCCTCACTAGAGTACATACATGAAATAGCTGATTCATTTAAAATTTGTATTAATAAAATATATTTCATCATGAAAATGTAAAAGCCTTTAGTTGTTATTCGTCTTCTATAAACAGTTGTGTATTTAATTATTGTTTCCACATGTGCTTTCCGTAGCAGCAGCCCTGATGATAACGCTGCAGCTCCTCACCTCGGCCACTCTGTGCGTGGAGCTGAAGCGTGCCGTGTCTCCAGCCAGGACGCAGTGCTGGTGGGTGCTGTTCAGGTCATCTGGTAAACACGGTGAAAAGGAAGCCATCAGCGTTAAACCGATTAAGGGCTGTTATTTCTTTTATTAAAGCGTGAACAAGAACAGAAAACATTACAACATAAAAACAGATGAAAAGCACCAAGTGAATCAGACTAAATCCACTCTGATTCTGCTCCGTCCAGCACTGAATCAAACAGACCGAAGAGCACTGTACTGTAATTTTAATTATCAAACAGAAGCAGATCGCGCTCAATCTGTCGAGATGGAAGCGCCATACCAACAAACATTTGTCCAATATCACACAAGCTTTGCGGTGCTGTTTCCTGCGTATCCCTCCATGTGTTTCTTGTGTGAATAGATGTTTCTCAGCTCTGCCATTATTTGCCTCCTACCAATAATTAATTTAGCCATGACAGAGCTGTCATTCATAGCACATGTGCATATTTACACCCGCCTTGAGCAAGAGTGCACCCGCTAATGCCTGCGATTTGAAAGTCAAACAGCCAAATGCTTTGGGAGGAAGATATTATTGTTTAGTGGATGACGGGGGGGGGGGGGGGGGGGGAAAGACGGTGACAAACAAAACAACTTGCCGGTGTTTTCTTCACCCTGATGAGATTGTGAAGAATTAGGTCTCTGGGCAGAATTACTCTGCGTCTTTAAAACTGTTTATATCCAATAACAAATTATCTCCATCAATCTGCTCTTTTCTTGGCACGTCTGATGCAGTCGGGGGGATCAGGAGGGAGTGGAGGCAAACTCGATAACTGTAATAAATATTTATCTTTCTTTCAACCCCTGTGCCTGCTGCCACTTGTCCTCCTTTTCCAGGAAGCAGGCTTTTAAATATATTGGGTCAACTCCTTCCTCCGGCCCCCCCTGTGCATTGGGAGCTGGAAATCAGATTATTGAACAGGCCCGGTGTCAGGACTTGCATTGTTCTTTTTTAACCACTGAAATTCCATTTGGGTGGAAATGATGGTGATTCAATTTGCCTCCAGCAGCTCAGACATTAGCAGTTCAAAAGGGCCAGCCGCCGACAAATGGTGCTGAAATTATATAACACTGTCTGCGGTCCTACACCATTGTAGTTTCCTCTTAATAGCACACAACTACTTATCACCGGGTGTATGTCAGTAAATCACAACTACAATATACTCCAACAGCGGCTTTAGCTGTGCCTGCTCTGTGTGCATACGAGAGCGGGGAGGGGCTCAGATGGACGCAGCGTGCACGTCTTTGTGCACGTGAGAGTTGTGCAGATTTATACTCGAGTGCATATGTTTGCACGCCGTGCCAAGTGTTTAATTCAGGTAGAACAACAAAGCAACAGACGGGCCGAGGACTGCACGAGCTGCTATCGTGGTGCAGCAGTTGGGCTCTCAAGGGCGCACTCACCAAGTGGAGCATAAATCCCCACTGATCCGCGACAGTCGAGTCCCATTAGAATGGTCTGCACAACAGCCCATCACTCTATTATCATGGCTGGCCCGAGACTGACGGTTCCGTTGTAAATCTCACCCTGCCGTAGAAGGTCGGCTTCAAGCCCCGTAAAGCTGAATGTTAGGTACAGACGTCGCTGCTTCTAGATGGAAACAACATCTTCAAAGGGCCAGAGTCAGGAATTAGTCATTAAAACCTTCCTGTTAGGAATTAAAAAGCTACTTTATGAGAACTTGTGTCAGATATGATTTCATATTGTCCGCAGTAACGTACACATCCACCGTCACAACACTGAGTTCAGACCGAAAGCAGCAATCGCTTTACTGCTTATCAAAGTGTTCATTACTGCTGCATGCGTAAATAAAAATTTAAAGGATCAATATTTGCTGAAATTCTAATTCAGTAAAACTTCTTCACTGGGTAGGACGTGTCTTCATTTTCTTACTGAGCTCCAATGATATGGCGCAGTATGGGGGCTAAAACTAAGACTACTGCCCAGCAGCAGCAGGCTAGATAAATTCCTACCGACCTGATTAATGATAAGCTGGCACCGGTAATTGAGAGGCTGGCGCTGCTTACTGAGAAATAGCACCTTTACCGACATTACTACTAGATAAGCTAGGGACTATCAGCCCTCGGCTGGTCATTGACTGGTTCACACACTCCCTCTGCTGTCTATTAGCATGGATAGGCTAACATTAGCCTGGATGGGCTGGTGTTAGCATTGGAGAGGCTAGCCATTAGCGTGCCCAGGCTGGCCACTAGCTGGATTTCCTACCTCCTCGACGGACCATTAGCATGGATAGGCTAACATTAGCCTGGATGGACTGGCGTTAGCATCGGAGAGGCTAGCCATTAGCGTGCCTAGGCTGGCCACTAGCTGGATTTCCTACCCCCTCGACGGACCTTTAGCATGGATAGGCTGGCGTTAGCATCGGAGACTGTTTTGTGGGTCTGCAGCTGAAAACGTAGGGAACCACTGGTATAAAGTATGACTGTGAACATAATATGCTAAAAAATGGCAGTAAAATGTTTTGAATATCGACTGTAAGAGATGTAGAACGGGACTGATCACGCTGTCTCTAGAATATAAGCCTCAGAGTGGTTACATGATTACTGTAATGCATCTTCTGTGGCCACTCTTGAAGGGATCCATCTGTTCAGTGAGGGGAAGCTGAAACTTCTAGAATAAGAGACGTCTTCACTCATGAAGACCTCCAGTAGGAAACCAAAACTGTCAAGTAAAAACTTTTCACCCGAGAAGAATCCTTTATTTTGTAGAACAAAAACACTTTTTATGTTAACTCTTGAATAATTAAGTCTTCAACACTGCAGTTTCTAAGGGAAAGGACAGTACAAAAAATCCTTAAAATGTAAAAAAAATAAATATTATTGTATTATATAATTATGAAGAAAAGAAAATAATATTATTTATCTACAAACATGGATGAACATAGTCGTCTATTTAAATGTTTCTTCTAGTCATTGTTTAGTTGAGTTATCATTCTAGAATAAGGTAGAATTATCCATCAAGCAGCTGAAGATGGGGCCGACACTAAATCATGTTTTATGTCTGTCCTTACATACTTATAAAAGCAGGGTGCCTTTATAAAAATAATAAATCCCCCATCCATCCACGCAGGGCTCCTCGTGTCTCGTGCATCTGAACGCAGGCCTCTGCTGTGACGGGGATAAATGTCCTTCCACTCAGAAAATATGAGCACCTGCAAGGACCCGCGGGACCGGGAAAAGGAGGGTGGAGGTGTCCGCTGCAGCCAAATGCATTAAGCTATGATTTACACCCCCCTGGCCTGCTGTCTGCTCTCCCTACAGAGATACAGTCAGCAGCGGGTCACGGGACTTCAAAAAAAAAAATTTGGTGTTCCTAACCTCTCTAATGCACACAATTTCATGGAACCTTAAAGCCCTGTGTTCAGGCCAAGAAACGTCTCTTTCCTCTCTCTCTCTCTCTCTCTCTCTCTCTCTCTCTCTCTCTCACACACACACACACCATTTCTCCTGCAGAGGGAATGAAGACATTAGGGCAGAGCTGAAAAAGTGAGGGACGAAGTGGATCCTGCTGGCGTGGGCCATTCGGGACGAAGTACAAGAAACACCAAAAACAGAGTAATGAAAGTGCTCCTGTCTCTGTATTCAGAGCTGCATGGAGCAGCATGTTAACATGTGCACGCGCGTGTTCTGTGAGTGTGTTTATGGAGCATCGGTGGTACCTCTCATGTAATAGCAGTCTCCAGACCCCAGCGGCAGCATCAGGCCAGGTGTGTGGATGTCCCAGGCCACTTTGAGCCCGATCCTCCAGCAAGCCTCCTCGCCGCTGCCTCCTTCGCTGCTCCCACCTGTCAGTCACACACATCCCCCTCGCTGTAACACTTGTATCCGACATTTAAATTCACCTTTTGGCCTCGGGGCTGAACTCTTTCACTCAGTGATGCTTAAAAACAACACGCGAGTTTTATTAAGTCATGTTGCTCAAGAGAGCTGAAAATAAAAACTCTACATCAATGTCCACTTATCATCACAGCCATACAACAGATGAAATTAAGAATTACGAGGCTAAAAGTACAGCGTGAAAGAACTGAATCAATATCACCCAAACAATGGATGTAAAATGTAAGGCTTTGTCTCCAGAAAGTAGGAATCACTTAACGCCCGAGCACGGAAGACTCGTGTTTCTGTGGTCGTATCGGATGTTAGTGCAGGAATTTTATGCTATCATTATGTAGTGCAGGAGGAAATAGTTGGATAAAAGCCCCTGATGTTGTTGAGTGAGTGTGTGAGGGTATGTATCCTGTGTGATTCCTGTTGCTGAAGACATTCACTGATACCAACTTTACTCCCCCCCCCCCCCCCCCCAGGTTCCTGCGAAAACAAGATTTGGCTCGGCTGGCCGACACCCTTCAGCAAAATCAATACTAAAGTCTTTCTGGGCCTCTCTGCCCCATGGCTGCCTTTTCCTTTGCTCAGCACGGATAAATAGTAACTTAATTTTCAGCCATTGTGCTCTGAGAGCCTGCTAATGACAGCACTCCCCAGGGCCTCGGGAATGGTGGAAGCCTATCCGTGGTGCCGGAAAACACTCGGCTAAGGCAGATTCCTTTGGATCAGAGCAGCTAGGAAGAAGACATCAGGTTAAGGGGAAAAAAGGCCCGATTCACACAGGAGGATTTTCTAACTGTAGGACGATTTTTAAAACACGCCGATAAAAAAATCACGGATCTAAGTGTGCGGTGTCCTTTCACGTGGCTAATACTACACATGAACTGATTTCACAGAGAGACATTCGCTAGTCAGACGGGAAATCTTCTGAGATCAAACGTGACTTTAGTGTAAACAAACAAGGAGGAGTAGCTGGTGGGGATGAGCTACGATGTAGCCACAGCTGTCCTGGGGCGCGCTGACAGAGGCGAGGCTGCCGAGAACAGGCGCCACCGGTCCCTCCGACCACCACCAGCAGGTAAGGGGAGTTCAGTGTCTTGCCCAAGGACACAACGACAGCGACAGACTGAGCGGGGCTCGAACCTGCAACCTTCCGATTACGGGGCGAGCACTTAACTCCTGTGCCACCGTCGCTTCCATCATGCTTCCACCACCTCGTTTTCTGATTGGCTACATGTCACATTCAACAGGCAGTAGACCTGTTTGTCCTTGAAACCGGACCAAAGGAATCCAACACGCCCTAGTTTATCGTCCAAGTAGTCCCAGTGCACCTCCGAGCAGACCTGAGAGTTCTTACAACTCCACACACGGTAGGACAATCTGATAAGTCTATCTTTAGAGCCTTACGGTAAAGGAGCACGTGCTTAAAACAGCCAAAGGGGAGGATCACGACAAAAAGTGTCTCACACTGCGGTGTGAACCTGAAAAAAAAAAACAAGGAATACACCAGCAGGTAAAAAGAAAAGCCCGTATGTCTACGGTTCAGGGTGTGCTACATCAATGTTAGAAACGGGCCTCTAAATGTGCAGCGCAGCTCTGGGAAACCTTAGAACCAAAATCTGGATCACAGTTCTCGTCAGACGTTCACCTCTTAAAGTCTGCAGGGTCACCCAGAACTAGCGCTGCGAGGTGTTATGCTGTAGTGTTTGATGTCTGTGCTAACAGGGTCAAAGTAGAAACGGCCCAGAACAAATGATTAAAGCACGCCTTCTGGAGCAGGTGTAACTTCTAAGTCCAGTGAAGAAACCCCAGCTGTAAAAAGCGTTGGGATGTCCGAACACTCAGAACCACAGCTTTGTGAGGGTGCTAAATGACGGCTTTGAGGTGCAGACTGTGACTGCACAGAGCTCCAACCCAGCCGATGAAGCAGTGAATCTGATAAACTGTCGTCCACATCAGAGACGTTAGAATCCAGCATGAAAAGGCAACAAAAGGGGCCATTTAATCATTTGTGGTAAAAGTTTTTCCAGATTAAATAACAAGACTTGGAGTGAAAAGTGGCACAAACTGCAGACGCTCCTAAGATGCTGTTAATGAAAACCCTTTCTAACACGCCTGTGTTGTGTCCTACACTCTGTTCTACACACATTGTCTAGAAAGCAAACTTCTCTCTATCTCTCTATCACCTCCATCAGCCAACACTATCAGCTCTTCAGAGAGGGCACATTTGGTAATTAGGAGACATCGTATTATCCATACGGTACAGTCTAGGAACACTTTTCAAAGCGGCACTCATTATTCCATATCAGATAATTGCACATCGATCATTTCTCGGGGAAATGATTTAGATGAGATGTAGCACACGCGATAAGGTCTGTTTGTTAGACGACGCCATTGAGCTGATGTTAAAAGCTCAGACTCAAACGTCTGTGATCTCCCCGCGCTCAGGCAGTGATAAGGCTGTCAGCAGCCAAGTGGCGATGACATTTGATAATGCCCTGACACTATCGCGTAGATGGATCTGATGGTTGCCTCGCCAGAGGCCGTGTCTACAGCTGCCGCAGCGCCGCTGCAGGGCCACAACACACAAGGTTACCTGCATCTGATCCACCACAAAGCAACTGAGATAAGTTGATGGGATGATGCTGAAGTGGAATCCTAATTTGCAACCAGCAGCTATTTGCATTCTAAGTATGGATTAGATGAGTAAAAACCACATGAAGAGTTAACTCTACCAACTGCAGTTAGATGCGCATGAATGACAGGTTTGGCGCCTTACCTTTGTCGTCATGACAACTAAAGTTGTAAACAGCTACTGGAGAATGAGTGATCAGGTTCTCGTCGTGGTGCCACCCTACCGCCATTCTCCCCATTCCGTAGTATGGCTCCTCCTTCAGCTGGCTCATTTGTGCTGGGTCCATGTAGTTGAGTAAGGTGACGTTGAACTTGACCGGCCCAGTGCACACCTGTGGAGGACAGGGCTGGGAACAGCCCTGACCAGCCTCATGTTGCTCCTTGTCCTGAATGTGGTGATCTGACCGGCTGTGCTTCAGCTGCGCCACGGGCTTCTCGTGGGCCTCTGCAGACTCAGTTCCTGTCTCGCTGCCGGCCTTGGTCGCCCAGCTCGGGCATTTTCCTTCACTGGGTTCGGAAGTTGTTGCAGCAGCGGTTTTGCTTTTTGTGAGTAGTGAGCACTCGGCCTCCTCGCCGCTGTGTTTGAACTCCGTTTCCCACTCCCCTTCTTGTTTTGACCCAGAACAGCCTTCTTCACTGTGCTTGGACTCAATGTCCCACTCCTCACTGTGCTTAGACTCTGTGTCCACCTCCTCACTTTGCCTGGACTCTGTGTCCCCTCCTTCACTGTTCTTGGAGTCTTCACTGTGTTTAGAGTCCGTGTCCCCCTCCTCACCTAGCCTGGCCTCTGCCTCGACCTTCAAACACTGTGCTAGCCTGTCCTCTTCTTTCAGCTGAGACACATCAGAGCAGAAGTAGCTGTTGAGCTCACACAGAGCCTTGCAGGCTGCACTCAGGTCTGCATCGCAACAGTTCTGCCCCTTGACCTCTGTGTCTTCACTGTGCCAGGGAATAGCAAAGAGCCGAGTGTCCAGGTAGCGGTAGGTGTGGCCTGGCTCACCCAGCAGTGCTCGCGACACGGCGGTGAACACGTCCCGATCACGAACACGAACCAGATCCTTCAGGAGGCAGCCCTTCCTTCTGAGGGTGAGCAGAGCGGCCTGAACCCGACCATGCAGCTCAGCAGGCAGAGAACAGGATTTTCTGAACGCCAAACCCGAGTAACTGGAATCCCACTAGAAAACACAAAACCTACTTCATACACAGTCACTATTTGAAAGCATGCAGCAGCGTCTCCATAACAGACATCAGGATCATTTGTGTAAGTTATTTTGTGGGAGTTGACTCACCAGTTGCTGATATCCTCGAGCTGAAGGTCCCAGAAAGGGGATCTTCTGGTCTCCCAACTCCTTGAGTAGCCGATACCTCTGTGAAACACAGCACATCACAACGGGCTCGTTCTGCAGTTGTATTTTCACCTTGTCTCGTTATTCCTTGCCATGTGTTGCCTCTCAGCAGCCGGCACTAATAACTGTCTGTGACTGACTCACTTGGTGGATTTTACTAAAACTCTTAGAAAGTAATATTAGTATTTATACCTGATTCCATTTTAGAGTCCACTCTACTCAAGGCGTGTTTCTCAATGCCAAGGAACCTTGCCTTGATGTCTTGGCCCCGCCCCGGTTGCCTAGGAGATACGTCATCAGGAGCCGCCAAGACGTGTTCCAATGTTCATGTTCTACCGAGGCGTGTGTTTTCTGTTTGTTAGCCGTTTAGCTAGCTGAGTGAGGATACACGGGAGGTGTCTTGTGGCCTAGCCTTGGTCAAAAATTACCCACAATACACCGCGGTATTTTCATAAAAACAGCGGATCAGAAGCCGGCAGCTACATCAGGGATAATTTTTCAAGTTTAAAAGTAAATCAACTAATTTAAAATGTTTTTTTTAGATCCAAAGAAGTTATCTATGGTTGGTTAGTAGCTTAGTAGTTGCAGCTTCGGTGGCTAGCGGGTAGTAACTTACTTATATATTTAATTTAATAAACATTTACACAACAGTAGAAGTAGCTGAGGTGGTAGAGCGGGTTGCCTCATGATCGGAGGGTCATGGGTTCGATTCCAGCTCCCGCCAGAGGTATCCTGCTGTTGTGTCCTTGGGCAAGACACTTCACCCAACTTGCCTGTGTTAGCGGTGGTCAGAGGGGCCGACGGCGCCAAATGGCAGCCTCGCCTCTGTCAGACCTCCCCAGGGCGGCTGTGGCTACAAGTAGCTTACCATCACTAGCAGTGTGTGAATGTGAGAGTGTGTGAAAGCGTCTTTGGGTGTCTAGAAAAGCGCTATATAAGTTCAATGCATTATTATTATTATTATTTAAAAAGTAAAAGACTCGTTATATATTTATATTGAAACTAATACATTTAAAATATAACGTTGTATCCCGTGCCATGTGACGTCACGTGACCGCCGTGGAAGCTGCGGTCACGTGATTTAAGTCTGTTCCATTTAACCGTTTTCTTTGACCAAGGACAGCCGGTGTCCTCGTAAGCAAGGTGCCTGGCCTCACAAGACATCGCCTCGCAAGGCCAGGCGCCTTGGCATTGAGAAACACCCACTATCACTAAAAGGACTCATCTTAGCCAATTGTAGCTAACACAAAGACGACTCTGTCAGTTTTACAGAAGCTGAGCTATAATTTGGTGTTTCAGAATTCATCAAACTCAACACTATTTCTACCATTTTAACTCTACTTGCAAAAGCTGATCTGAGTCTGAACGCCTAAAATTTCTAACAAATAGCACAAGACTGCAATGCTGTGTCAAAATGTGCAGTTACTCTCAACGTTTGCCCAAAACCTCATCGGGAACGGCAGCCTCGCCTCTGTCAGACCGCCCCAGGGCGGCTGTGGCTACGTAGCAGCTTACCATCACCAGCAGTGTAAAATAATGGAGTGCCTAGAAAAGCACTTCATAAATCTAATCTAATCTAATTAATAATTAAATCAAACATGCCAGCTTTAACAGATGATGCCTTAACTGAAGTAATCCAGGAAAATATCAGGCCTTCGTTTCAACTAATGTTGAAGATGCTGAATCACAAACACACAGCCCTCAATGCAACCAGAACCTTCCATTCCATTCTGACCCAAGCAACAAAGCAGCAAAAACCTTTTATGTTCCCCAGAAAGACGACGTGGGTGCAAAGCAACATTGTGCATGTGGAGACTTGGTTCCTCAGCCATTCATCACAGGTGTGCACGTACTCCGCATAGAGTTTCTGCAGCTGGACGGTAAACTGTCGCTGGCATATCTGTCATTTTGCGTCCTAAAGGTTTAGGTGAATGAACCGCAGAACAACAACTGAACAGTTGTAACAGTTTAGGAGGAAAAGGCCGTCTGTATATTTTAGTGACATTTACAACATACGCTTGACATTTTTCCTGCTCTAAGAATGCCAAAGACCCCGTGTGGCACGCTGCGGGAAACGTAGGAGACGGCTGCCAAAACGTTTCCAGATTTTAGGAGTGAAATAAAATGTCGTGTTAATAAATGTTACAGTGAGGCTATAAAAAGTTGAGTGTCCTGACTCAAAGAGGGCAGATGAAAAAGAGGGCAAGTGTTGAAAGAATGTGCGTTAAAGGCAGAAAGGGGGTGCAAAAACTCTCAAACAAGGAGGCAGAAGTAATGGGAGGGCATCTGGTTTGAGGCAGTTTGCTGAATTTACCTCGAGGCCTGAATCCTCGCCTTAGGCTAAACAACACAACACCTGCTGGAGGTTTTCTTAAAGGATGCACAAGAGCCTTCCAAGTTATTCTGGAACAAACAAAACCAGACCTGCAGACAGTTGGAACCTCAAAAAAATAAAAAACACCATGCACTATTCATGGCCAGGATGCATTCAAAGACTGTTGGAAGAAATTGACAAGTTGACACACAATCACTGGTGTCAAAGTCTAACTCCTGACAGAAGTTGAAGACATCAAGGTGAGACTCTGGGCTAACAGTTGTATGTGCATCCATCTGTGCACGTGTGTGTGCTGCTGGGTGACTGGTCAAGTCCATTTTTCGCCATTCACATTCTTTTTGGGTGCGTAAATATATACACGAGTTATATGATTCCAGTTGGCTTTACTCACAGCAAGCCAGCTCACACACACACACGTGTATATGAGCTTTCTGAATAATGCACAGCTGGAGTAGCGAGCATGATGCCTCAGCCCCAAAAGCACACAACCAGAGCTGTCACACATGTGTCAGATATATCAGCCTGCTAAGAAATTCCACAGAAAAAAACCCAAAGACAAGAAGTTACCGGAGCCCTCTGAGGCCGACGGACTCTCACAGCATTAGAGAACCGCTGTGTCCGTGTTTCTGTCTCTGCATCTGCACCTGATTTTAAAAGGAAAATCACAAAAAAAGCCTTTCTACTCAGACCCACCCCCTCCAAAAAAATGAGATTACCAATTTCATAATACTGTAACGCGGGTCCTTAATGGTAGCAGTCCGAACCATCTGTTCTGAGTGATACATCTGATGCTTTTTAATCTCTCCTTCCTTGATGGGATTATTCCCTCAGCCGGACTGTTTATCACAGAAAAACATATTAGGTAGAATAGAACTCAATTGGTTTGCTTTGATCTTGCCCTATAAGAGATATAAAACTGTGCACCATATATTTAATAATTTCATTTACTTCACATCTGTGACACTCCAATGGACGCTTTCTTCAAAGTGAAGTAGATTAATGTCCAGCGCTTAGCATCAATAGCTCAAAATAGCCTGCTAACTTCACAGCTTCGAGGATAAAAAAAGCACCAGTCTGACTTGTGTCTGCCTGAAAGGACCACAGAAAACAAGGATTTGGTGAAACTACTGACAAAGTACGCAAGTACTACACAAGTTTTTGTAAGGTTTTAAAAATGTGGCTGGTGCAACAGAAGCTCAAGTTCCAAGTCATGTGTTTAGTAGGGCTGCACAATATATCGCAAATATATCGTTATCGCGATATCAGCATGCACAATATGCATATCGCAAAGAACAGATAAATATCGCAATGAATGGTCCGCTCAAATGTTTGCTGTCGATCAAACGGAAGCATGATGTTTTTTTTAACAAATCTAAGAGCTCTTCACCCATTTGGCCAATTAGGTGGGTTCTCCCCGAGGTGGACAGCACTTAATTTTGATGGTTAGCAAACACCTGAGTTAGCTTTGTTCTGCTTTTTCTGCTTTTCCCGGGATCCACTGATTACCTTTCCTTGTTTGTTTTCTTTTTCCCTTGCCTCACATTTTTTGCTTTTCTCATTTTTATGACTTTTTTGTCATTTTTAAATTTCTTTGTTTTTGATTATTTTTGTTCCTAAGTTAAGTTTTTATATCGGAAGTGATATCTTCATCGCAATATTAATCACTGTCATCGCATATCACAGGTATTCCTAATACCGAGCAGCCCTAGTGTTTGGTGACATGAATATGTTGTATTCATAATGGTGGCACAGGAGGTAGGTGCTCGCCCCGTAATCAGAAGGTTGCAGGTTCGAGCCCCGCTCAGTCTGTCGCTGTCATTGTGTCCTTGGGCAAGACACTTAACCCACCTTGCCTGCTGGTGGTGGTCGGAGGGACCGGTGGCGCCAGTGCTCGGCAGCCTCGCCTCTGTCAGTGCACCCCAGGGCAGCTGTGGCTACATTGTAGCTCATCCCCACCAGTGTGTGAATGTGTGTGTGAATGGGTGAATGACTGATTGTGCTGTAAAGCACCTTGAGGGGATCCAGGACTCTAGAAGGCGCTATATCAAATGCAGGCCATTTATATATGCTCCATCATCTTTGTCTACACGTTGGTACTTTTCTTTTATGAGGTAAGAAGTCAACCTCCACCCAACAGAGGGCAGCACCCCCATCTTTTAGAAGCTTGAATCTAAGCAAGCCTTCTCCAGCCACAGAAATGACGCCATGTGAGATCGATGTGTGATAGCGTGCCGTGTTTAAACAGCAAGCTACTGGTACTTGTCAGACACCAGTTTTAGAATTGGTCTCTCGCTGCAAAAGTGCCGACGAATCAGCAAATTTGACAAGTCGGTTGTAAAATGTCAGACTCAAAAAGGCAGGCTGCCCGTACGAATCAAAGGTGCTTCCTCCCCTGGACTATTTGGCACCGGATCGAAGAATGTAGGAACCTTGTGTGAAGCAACACAGGGCGCGGAGAAGCACAGGGAGCGGTTGTTGTAATCGGTGTGTGAGGAGAAGACCACCACAGAAGGTTTGTAAATGTAACTTGAAGCGACTAAAGCTGAAAGAGAACATAAACTAAAGATTTCAGAATCACCTTAAACCAAACATTATAGGTTATTCTGTTTGGTTGTCTCTGTTCCACAGATCTGACATTCGAGAAATGTCTCTTCCTAAAATCAACCAAGTGTTGGAACGTCAGCTG